AAAAAAAGCTTTATTAGCAAACCCTCTAAGCTCTCTTGCCAGGCRAGTTTCAATGAAATGCACCAGTTAATAGAATTCATATAAGACTCCAGCATCATGCAGCACTCCACTAGAATTTTGGGATTGTTGCTGTCAGCCCCTCTTCATTTTTCTCCTATTTCAAGAGAGAATAGAGAGAGGAAAGARGACAAACTCTGCCAAATAAGATTTCAAGTTAACACAGTTCCCTTCAGAGGATTTACACCAGAAGGCCTACCCTGCATGTGGTTCTATTTTATGGAGCGTACCACTGTCCTCTTTCTTCCCAGGAGGCTTGTTTTGCTGGGAAGGTGCAAAGTCTCACACATTGCTCTTAACCTGCAGCCTTCCTTTCTCATCACAGCTGCAGAGCTCAGGAGGAAGAGGTAGCAGAGCCTCACATTCAGGTAATAAATGYTTTAGGGTGATTGCAGCCACATAACAGCATTAGAAAATCCTCAACTAAACCTTCAGTGTCAAATGTCTGCACCCAGAGGGCTGACAGCCAGTCTTGGAAAAAAAGGGTTGAAAGGATGAATATGTTGGATTTTATTAGTCTTTGCATACCAACAAGGCACCAAAACCTCAGATTTGATACAGCCACCTGAAAAGTAAATTGTGCTGAAATACCTACAAGTGCTGGAAGATTCCCACATATAGCCAAGTACCACCTTATAAAATTATCAGCAATAAACTGCAAGTGGAATGGCTGCATTGATGCACAGAGCTCACATCTCCCAGTAACAGTGCTGAGATTACTGCTAAAATTGTCTGGTTTAGGTCTAAAGTGGGACTTGTCTCAATAACTGCAGGATGCTTCTGGAAGAATCAGATATTAATAGCTCAGAAATGTCACCATYAATTCTTTGTTTGTCCTTTAGGCTCTAATTGACATTATTCATAAAAGATCAGGCAAAACYTTTATCAATTTGTTGTCTTTCTGTTGGGTAGACAAAATTATCYTCATACTCCACAGACTCACACCAACCACCTCCGTTGGTGATTGCAAGCAGCTTGCAATCCAATAGGATTCCAATAGGAACAYTGGTTGTAAATGCATGGAAATCCAAGTGCCTTTTCTTTTTCTTTCTATGCAAAACAAGGCACTATTGGCCCAGGAAATGCCAAAATCTGCTCTTCCAAGGATTGCTCCCTGCAGTGGAGGGAGGTGTCCAGCTCCCACCAAGGGCTGCCCTCAGCATTTTTGAGGATGCATTTTTCTCCYATGGATTTTCCTTGCTGTTTTGCTGGAGATCACCATGTTTTCACTTGCTCCCTCAATAACCCTGGCTCCACAGTCTAGATGCAGCCAGGAAAATTCCTAAGAACCCTGATGCACCCAGCATTAACTCATTTTCCTTTCCCTGTACTACTACTATGCATATTCTGCAGTGACAGCCATGACTCAGAACTTACATGGAACAGGATCCATTTGACACATGTTCACTTTTTCAGGATAATATTCCCCAAATCTGAATAGAACACATGGTCCCCAAGTTTRTCAGCTTGCCATTATAGGGAAATTATGAGACTGCATTGCGCAGCATTCCTGTCTCTTCCTATCTAAAAACCCATCTAAAATAGAGTTTTCTTTAATATTCATGCTGTTAAGAAATATTATACTGGGGCACTGCCCTGACACACCTCTACATTAAGTGCAAGTTCTCTTCTACATGGACAGATCACATCCTAGGGACCATTTAGAATAAACAGGAGGCCAGAGGGCACCTGTATGAAAAGCCTTTAAATAATCTAATCCCTGCAACTAACTTAAGAACTCCTAGGGAAAGCAGAGGCAGAGATAAGGAATATTGACAAGGCCCAGCCAAAAATCAACACATCATCAGCAATCAAACACTTGCTGAGTGCTGCTTATTCATTATATGTGAAGAGCCTGACAGTTTCTCAAGAGAAACCTTTATAAGAAAGTACTAAAAACCAGAGCTAGTATTAAAGTCTCGGTAAACAGCAGAAGTCCAGCATTGTTAGTCACCATTAAAGCATTGCTAAGCAACCCTTCATGCTGCCCAGCACTGGATTAGCTCCCTCGCAGCGATCACGGAGCRCACCAGCTCCTCACCAGCGATGTCTGGGCTGAGGCACTATGTGATTTTCTTTCTAACCGAAGCAAAAGGTGCCCATGCAATTCCAAGGATGTATCTGTCTGCAGAGACATTATCTGCAGCTCTGGGCAGCTTCAAGGGCCAGGCTGCAGGATGAGGGGACTAATTTGCCTTAAAAATCAGGTATGCTCAGTCACACTCACATTTTAGTGCTTTGCTGTTAGTGACCAAGAGCAGATGCCCTCCTGAGCCCTAATTTAAGGAAGTTCAGCTCTGCTCTTGCCTGAAGACACACTAGCTGCAGCCAGACCACTGCTCTGAGGTACCATTTTGCCACRAGGCACTATCACCATTCTCAGTTTTTATATTATTTACTTTTGAAGATGATGAGGAATTTTCAAGCTAGTGCCTCAAAAAAATCCCTCCTTGTCCTTAAAAGAGATTCTCCCCATAACCTTAAATCTGAGCTCCAGTTCCAACCTTGCAGAAGTTAATCTTTTTAATGATAGAAGGGCAATTACTACAAAATTAGTTTTAGCARTAGTGTTCACATCAGAACAACATCTCAGAGCAGGAAACAGTTTATACATAAATCAGAACCTACAAGCTTTGGTTTAGCCTCAAAGTCACAAGCTCTTCCTATTTCTTAGAACTAGGGTTGAGTATAAGACACCAGGAGGGGCAGCTCACATGTTCCAACTTACAGGAATGAAGAACTGCTCTTCCAGGAACAGGGGAGACTGCACCAACAAGACAGCCTGGGGCAATTCCTCAGTGATTTAAGCAACCCAGCTCCCAAGAAACAGTACCTGTGGTTTCCTGGAAAGGCAACAGGCACAAGCAGCATGCAAGACAAGCCAGTTTTGTCCAAAGCTGTTGAGGAACACAAGGGGCCAGGAAAGTCAACAGGGACCCTACTGCAGGCATCAACAGCGCACAATCCTACAGGAWCTGGACACAGCAGCCAGAGGCAAGCCCATAAACAGCCCCAGATGCAGAAAACAGCAAAATTAAGGCATCAAAGCAGAAAGCAAAGCAGATGAGACCAAAATTAGATAGCACTTACCCATCTAAAGGCTCTATTTGGAAGGCAACCACCACAGCACCCCTCTAACATTGATTCAACAGACAAAACTAGTGCTGCAGAGCAACAAGCCTACAGCAGAGGCTAAAAGAAGCTCTAGGTCTCTGGGCTGATCTTAAATAGACGCCCAGGGGCCCAGGGCAGCATGGGATGGAAGTCCCAAGTGAGGCTCATCAGGGCCGTTAAGGGCACTCACGATCTTGACACCTACACCTGCTGATCATTTGCTGTATAAATGTGGTGCATGAAAGCAGAGGGCTTTATTCCTGTGTGATATCAAAAGTGAGTGCTGTTTGTTCATGTGGTTCTCTTCCTGAAAAGCCCCTGGTAAGTCCACTTGGTCTCCTAAGTTGGGGTCTTTGTTTTAATGTAGTCTTCTTTTGGCTAAAACCCAATCCAGACTGGTGAAATTACAGGTTTAGGGTCAGCTAGTGACAGAATAGTCAAATTTAAGCAATTTCTTTCCCAGAGTTTCCAAACCTCCYAGGCTAATGATGTCTTAGATCACAGCAGCACATTGCTGCCTTTGAAAGCTGTCTCTTTGTGTTGAGTTTCAACTTCTTTGTGAATCAGCAGACCTTAGTGGAACAAAAATGTCTTTGGTTAAGCAGCCAGACTCAAAAGAAATATATGATAAATCTCTCTTTCCCTAAATCCTGCATGTGCAGAGCCTGCTGTGCACTGCTTCTTCTCTATCTTGCTTGCTGGGGTTGAGGCTTCTTCATATCTCCTGCTGTAGGGCTCTAATGCTCTCCAGCTTGATGCAGGAGGTCATGCAGAGACTTTAGGCTAAATACACTAACTATCTRTAATACATATGTGCAGAAAGGGTTAGGGACATCCCCTTGTCCTCAAAGGTGAGTTTTATCTCTGTGATGCCATGAAGACACAATATGGATATTTGCCCTGTGCTGCTGATGTGATTCAGCTGCTTCTGTTCTTTGTACTTTTTTTTTCCAAACTTGCTTTGTGCTGCTATGAATATGATGAGGAATGGTTCAAGTGAAGCTGATTTGCCAAATTCTGACACAAACTGCCCCTTTGGGGCTGGGAGCTGGGGGTTCCTGATGAGCCCTGCTCACACACATGGGCTCTTGGTGCTTGGTGGGTGTGTTTGCTGTATGTGGCTTCAATTAGTTTTCAGTAATGAAGGCAAAGTGGCCTTTTCATCCAAAAGTAGCTACCTGAGCTGGATGCTGGACATGTGTGATGCAGCTTTTGGAGAGGGAAAAAGGTGCCAGAACAGCAGCTATGTGAAAATACAAACAAAATGACTGAGGCCTTTGGGCTCCTGCTCTCACGGAGCCATTGGAGAAAGAAGGGAACGAGGCCTGGAGCTGAAGGAGCACTGTGGCTGCGGAGCRGCTGGCACGATACCCCCAGACCCAGGGAACAGCAGAGCCACTGGGCACCGCGTGCCGAGCGGGCACTGCGTATCCAGGGGTACTTGGGATGCTTTTCTGGATGTTAGGAGCAGTTTTGCTGCTGTGTGAATGTTCACTCTGCTGTATGTCTCCTSCTTAACCAGGACCTCACAGTTTTCRAGGAAGAAGCACACCAAAAAGTTGCTGTGAGCAGAGCAAGCAAGTTACAAGTACTGTGTTAAACTGGGTTATTTCTCACAGATGTAACTGACAATTTGATTTACTGGGATGGAAAGCTTTTGGCCTTTCTACATGGACTGTGGAGGCCAATTTTGCTAGCGCAGGTTTTCAGAAGCTCTTCCAATGAGCCCCAGTAATGCAGGTGTCAGGTCCTGCAGAGCAGCTCTGTGTTTCTCCCACAGCTTCTGTCTGTTTGTACATCTCCTTTTTCCTCTACCAGTCCTTCTCACCTTTTTGCCAGCACCATCCTCATTTTAGGAGGAAATTTCCATCCAGACATGCACCGGAAAGGACATAGGAGACCAAGGGAAGAAGGTGAGGTGAGATGGAGGAGAGGAAACAGCAAAGGCAGTAGTGGAAAAGGGAAGCAATTAAAAGCTACAAAAGGGGGGGGAGAAAAAAGAGCAATACCAGCAAGCAGTGACAGAAATGAAGACAACTCTGTTCTCAGAAATGCAGGGGAGTGCTCATGTTTAGACTCTGTAGGCTGTGTAGGAGATGTTCCTACAAATCTTTCCTGCTGTCTTGCTCCACTGGAAACCTGGATGGAGAGTAATATGCCTCCACTTCCTTCCCATAAAGCCCAAAATATATGGGAAGAAAGTGGAAAGGTGCATGCTTGGGTGTGATTCATAAGCAGGAAGCACTGCTGGTGCTTTAGTGCAGACATGTCTCAAGTTGCCCAGAATAGGCAGAAAAAAAGGAAAGCAGGTCTATCCCTGCCCAGTGGGAGGAGTCACCCAGTCTGGACACTCCTTAAAATACTGCATTTATTCTCTTCTCTGAGCATCATACCTATCACATCTGGGGCTCAGAGAATCTTTTAATTCAGAGCCGTATTAAGCACAAGAAAAGCTACTTGCCTCATTTTCTCTTGCATGTAAATGATTAATGACATTCAGCAAAAATGTCTCTTGATGTGAACAGTTGACTACTGATTGCCTGCATGCACAGATTAATTCCTTAGGCTTCATGCTTCTTCAAAATCTATATGACATCTTGAGATTGGCGATAAGGTCAGCAGCGCGTTCTTTGCCTCAGATGATGAGTTTCTAGGTTTGATTCATGTTGTCTCCCACCAGAAGAGAATACAAACTAGAATTGTAATTGGCCTGCAGGAAAAAGAAACTAGATTAAGCAAAACAAATCATTCTTTTCATCTGCTCTGATGCTGGCAATAAGCATTGCTGGGGCTGTGAGATGCAAACGAGTCGGGGCTCTCACTCACCCACAGCAGCCACCCCATCACCAGAGAGATGGCCTTGAGCTCCGTGCTGGGCGCTCTCGCCGGCCATCCCTATGGCAACTGAAACTGGAGCTTGCATGGAAGAGAAGCACTGGGGAAATGCTTATTTAATGTGCTCTGACAGCTAAAATAGGAGAAAAGTCAGGAGAACAGGGGCAGCCGGATTTCTGCAGTTCACATCAAGGGCCTCTTTCCTCACTGGTGATAGGGACTTCTAGAGGCAATGCTTCAGATGAGTTGTGGGTACATAGCACCAGATGTCTTTAGGCTCCAGTCCTTGATATCTTGGCTTAGAATCAGATAAACAACACAGTGGCYTCATCTGGCCCACACATACATATTTCTGTCTCAAAGAATTGTAAATACAGAGGGGGGAAAAAAGGGAACTTGGGTACTGAGGAGAGAGCATCCCTAGGTTGGGGAGTGTCTGAATGCCAAGAAACCCATGTTCTTTGGTCTGGACATTGCCGGGGTCTAAAACAGCTCCCAGGATCCAGTCTCTCCACCTGCATATTGGACAGACACCTTTAAAACCTGTTGGTTTTCCCACATCTACCTCTCATTTTCCAACTTCACCCTAGCAGTGATTATAGGGTAAGATGAGCATAATTAAAGTGAGGGTGAGATTAAAAGTAGCAAGCTAAATTTAGCTCTCAGAGGCAAAAGCAATGGACAAGAATTAGCTAACCTCCAGTAGTAAAACTGTGATTTACTCTGATCATTCTGAGCAGAGGTTTAAGTAAGGTGGGAGGTTTAATTTGCAATCATGTTTCAATGCTGCATTTAGTCAATATCAGCAGGGAAGCATCTGCAGAGGAGTGAGGCGAGGCTAGTGTAGAAAAGCTCAGGTTAAAAGAAACTAAATTCCAGCAGGTGAAGTACCTGTAACAATTTCAATTGAAAAAACAAGTGTTGAGATGAGCAGAGTGCCACTGTCTTTACCCCTGYGCTGCAGCTGAACCCAGATTGGCTTTTCCCAATCCAGCATAGCCTCTGCCTGGGATGAGAGGGTCCTTTGCTCAGTGTCTCCCGGCTCAGTCCTGGGAGACAYCATTCCTTGCTGTATCAGACACAAGAAATCCTGGCAAAGTCCTTGCCAGACAGTAACTGGGAGCAAAGTATGGAGTTAGGCCAGACATATCCCAAAAGGAGGTGGAGTTAGGCCAGACACATCCCAAAAGGAAGTGGAGAAACTGGAGTAACTAATCTTTAGTGAATCACCAACCAGAGCAAGCATGGAAAAAGTTTATTATCTGATCGTTACCAGTGTCAGGGAGGGACTGGATCACCAGAAGACGTCTGCGCAGTGTTTTCATCAGCCTAATTGTGCCAACATTAACATTAGCCAACAGGAACTGAGCTCAGTCTATTAAATAAACTTGCCAGTATTAACCTGTTAAAACAGTGTGAATAGTCTCCTGAGTCAACTCCTTCTCCAGTCCTCCTGAAGTGGCCTATGGCACCACTAGCCACATTACTTTCTTAATCCACACGTTGCGGCGACTTGCAGTGAGACACAGAACTTGGAGCAGTTTCTAATTCAGCCTTCTTCAGCAAGGACTTTGCTGAAGGTTTTTCTGAAGTTATTCCAGCTATGCTTGTGACTTCATTTCCTAGCAGGCTTGTGATGACCATTGTGACTGGCAAACTCACTAATAAAGTCAGCAGAGCCACTGGAAGCCAAATAGACCTTAAAAAATGAGGTTTAAATGTGGACTGTCTAATATTACTTTGTGTCCCATGGGACACCAGCAGCTGAAACTCAAGAGATTTTTCTAGTGAGGGATCCTGTAGGCTCTTATTTAAAGCAAGACAGCCACAAATCTGTGTCYTCCTTTTATCTGAAGGTGCACCCTTGGTTTGGTCTCCCATTGCCTACCCTCTTTTAATGTGCTACAGAGGTGTGCTCGCTGACAGTGGAACTTGGAATTGGATTTTCCTGGGCCTGTCATTTTTCTTCTCTTTTAGTCTTAATATGTATTAGTAATAATAATTATATGCTATATAGTATATTGTTACATGTGCAATAGCTATATTTTTATATGCTATACAGTCAGATTGACATTATAAAGGTAAGAGAGCTCTTATTTCTAAGGCTAGACAACAGAACTCTCCTGTGAACTTCAGTCAAAGAAGAAAATGGCCATTCTCTGCATGAAAGAAATTGTTTTCCTGTGCCAAATATACCTGCTGCAATGTAGTACAGTGGTTCCATGCTGGCATCAAGCCTGTGTGTAGTCAGATGCCATTTCAGTGGAGAAACTTGGGGAATGATCAGTTTGGACAAAACAGGTTATCCAAAGTGTTAAGCAGACAAGGAAGTAGGCAAGTAGGAAAAACAAATATTAAATCCAGCTATATTGTCCTGTCCCAAAGAAACAGCTTTTCTCCTCTGTGACCAGCACTGGCACAAGCAACTTCCTCCCTCAGCCTTGGTTTTCTTGGCAAAAAGTTGCTTATTTTGTTGCATAATTTCT